GGATACAGCAACAGCAACAGCTACAGCTTCAGCTACAGATGCGAATGCGAATCCGAATGCGGATGAAGGTACTGTCGCACATTGTTTATGCAAGCGCATTAAGCTGAGGCTCAGCCCTGGCACTGATGCGACCCCAGATACGGCAAACTCTCCGCATGCAGATGGGCATATGCAGATACAGGCAACAGATACACTGACACAGATTAAGACACAGCGTAGCTACAGTAGCAGCCGCCGCTACACCTTCATCACACCCACACGGATGGAAACAGAAGAGGGCGAACATGTTGCGGTTTTTCTGAAGAAGGTTTGACCTGCCCCCCTGGTGGCTTCTTCTTCAGTGCATAAGCAAATGGCCAAAACCGCATCGCCGTGGGCGTGCCGGGCTCGTTAGGTTCGACTTGAAGCAGCTGCCGCTGCAACAGTTGAAACTCAAAACTCCGACACGGAAAAGTCAGTGAAGCGAATTGAACTCATTAACTCTGAGAAGCAAGAGAGAGAGCAAAAGAAAGAAGGAGTCGAGTACATCGGCGAACATTGTCGTGTAATTCAATGCCCCAGCCACTGAAATTGGTATCGCGTATCTCATGGATACACGGCAATACGTGCACACGTATCAAAAGGGCTAATAAAACCAGTGAAAAACCAGCCGAAAGAAATTGAAACTCGCGTTGATTTTTCGTGATTTTCCGCTCGCTCTCTCTCACATGGGGATATGGCATGCAATTTTCATTTTATATGCCATGCCATGCCATCCATTTTATTGTTTATTTAGAGCATTGTTTAGCGGCATACATACTCGTACAATATATGTATATAAAGCTATATATCTATCCTTTCGTGTTGCTGTTGCTGTGATTTAATGGCTGTAAATTGAAATGGGAAATTTGCCGGGATGGGGAAAATGGAAAAAATGTTGCGCATAGCTAAGAGAAGTTGATTTGCCAAAAAAGATACAAATACGAGTGCGAGAGCGAGTACATCTAACTACAACAAATATACAGAAAATATATATTGAAAAAGTTCCCAAAAAAATAAATAAAAGAATTTAAACTTTGCGAAAAGTGAACAAGGGATTTTCATGGATTTGTAGGCTGAAAATCTATGCAGCTTACGTCATCAATTTGGTATCATACTTTATGTATGTATTCAGATACCATTTTTGGGCGTACACCGAAATTGTCTTAAATTTAGCAAATAATAATAAATATTTAGTCATAATTTTCAGACTTCTCTTCAACTGTAAATCCTTTTATTTGGAGGCTTGCTCTATCTTTTATTTCTCTTACGAAATTGGCTTTATTTCTCTTCCAAACCTCGTTGAGGGTACACATTTTTCGTTGTGGAGCTTCTTCCTTTGTATCTGTATCTCGGATCTTGTATCTTGCCTTCGTTTTTGCTTACATTACAAGCGGAAATTTGATTTGTTTCTGATAAATGCCATTTATTTTACTTGTTTAAGTCGAATATGCTCGCTCTCCTCCCTCCACCCTCCCTTGCTCTTCTTCCGCTTTGCCCATTTTGCCGACTTTTCCATGAAATTCAATTGCCAAATTGATTCAACTTTTTGTGCGTTTTGCCCATCCTCTTATCCTGCTACTGCCACCGCGTTGAGCCACAGATAATTGAATGATTTGAATTTTTATATTGAATTTGGCTTTATGCTACAGCCCAAGCCCCTGCCCCACCCGCCGCCGTCACACATAGCTGAACACGCCCACTCTACAGTTAACGCCTCGTCCCGGACTTTCATCATATTTTGGCATTTGTGCAAAATTCTTTTCTTTCTTTTCGTTTGTGTGTGTTTGTGTGTGTGTGTGTTGCGTGGGATTTTTCTATTTAAATGGAAATGAAAATTGTAGGCGAATTGGAAAATTGCTTATCAATTGATGCGCAGCGGGGGGGGGACAGCAGCATATGCTTCAAGGATCAAACGGAGGTTCAAATTGAATTTCCCAGTCACCCAGCCGCCCCCCTATACCCCGCATGTTTGCTGTGGCCCCCCTAGCCGCCTGTCGCTTCCACTCTTTATGCTGCAATTAAGAATTAAATTAAGTTTTTCGCTTGCCAGCGACGAACGACAGAAAACAAACTTAATTGAGTTGTGTATCCTCCTCCGTATATGAAATGCATTCCCATCGCAGGCAGGGGGGATATATGTAGAAGAAAGGGGCACTGGAGAGGGTGGGGAGGCGGGGGTGAATATAATTCAATCTACTGAAGCGTAACACCCGCCATAAAATGCATAGCAAATTTTTGGAAACATTGCGCCAAGTTTTTCTATTTCTTTTTGTAATTATTTGTGCGGCTTATGGCCCTGGGAATTCTAGACAACTGCCCGCATGATGATGTAACCATACGAAAAAGATGAAGGAGGCATAGGAGGAGGGGGAGGGTTACATAGCTGTGAAGTAGGAGTACGAGTACATTTAATGATGTCTCTGGAACCATTAGCCGGCGCAGACATCGTGTCTAAGAGAGTTTTCTTGAGAGTTTGCCACAGCTACCCCCATGGCTAATGGCAAGGTGCACTCGAGTTCCATTGTTGCCTTTGTGGAACAGAACAAAACTATTGCTTATTGCTTCGTGGAAGGCAACTGGAACAGAATAGAACAGAGCAAAGCAGAGGAAGGGGGACCATGCTGAAGGGCCTCTCCACAGTTTCGACCTTTGTTTCGCAATCGAGTTTCAATTCAAAAGCAATACAAACACGCACTGCGGGTGCCACTTCACCCATACACAAATGGAAATGGAAGTGGAAATGGGACTCGAAATGAAAATGGAATTGGATCGACGTCGGGCAGATGAAGTAAAGGGAGAACAGCGAGGGAATCGCTTGAGAAACAGCGTCACCATAAATTGTAATTACCCAGAATTCACGCGACCGACCAACAAAAAGAAAAGTGTCAGTTATGGGGCGTATGCAGCGACACTCTACTCTGCCTTGGGATTCATTCGCCGTTTCCCTCCCTGCTGGCTGGCACCAGGTACCACCGCCTGTGGCTTTATGGTGTCGATTCGTGACTAGAGATGATAGAGTGAGTGAGTTGACGATAGAATGTGTGATGCATTGCTGCGGCGGAAGTAAACTTTAAAAATCCGAATATAGAATTGAAATCGAGTACAGAGTCTTAACTTTAAACCATTTTTTAGTTGAGAACAGTACAAATTTAAAGATAACTATCTTGAATCAGTACTTAAGTTACTCTTTTCAGTTCGATCCATTAATTTTTAGTAATATTTAAACATAAATAAAGATAATTTTTTAAACATTGCCAAACTTTAATTTGATTTGATTATGATTTTAAGTTGCTTTTACCCCCAGTATTTCCTGCCATCACACATCTTTATATGATCTATGAGTTTCACGCTACCATCACTAATCCTTGAGCATATGTGTCGCATAACACAAAGACATTTACAAATGAATTAGCCCCGTCCATCGACTGTACATCCTCAGTGGGTCTGGGCGCAGGCGCACAGCTTGTGGTCTCTAAGGCATAACCGTAAACTGAATGGAGAACTTCATGCCAGACACACTGACGCAAACCACATGCTGGCTTTTCACAATTTTCACGTTGCGCCGTTCCCGCCTCCCCCAACCCATACCCCAAAAAAGAAAAGAACGAAGAGCTCAAGCGAAGGCATTCCTAATGCAAAACGTGTGGCTGGCGACACTTGCACACGTTCGTTCGCATGTGTTTGGCAGCTGTCTGTAGCGAACCGACGAACCAGAACTCATCCCAGAACAGTCTCAGAATTTCTCATTTGAGAGCGCAACAAATGGTTTTAAATTAATAACAAAATACTTGGACTTGTCGCTGACAGTAATTGAAGTGTGACATACTTTTAATGTGATTACGAGCTGTGCGGTTCGAGTCAAAACTCATTTTGAATGCTGATGAGATTACAGAAACGGCGACAGAATTGATGGTTGGGGCATTGCTGCTGCATGCACCAAAAGCCAATTACAGTCGGAGTCCGTGCCCTATGCCACCATTCGATGATGGAATTACAATGTGTGTGCGACGAGGAGAATCTGCAACCAAAACTCTCGCTTTTGCCGCCGCCTCAAAAGAGTATCCATTTACGACAACTACTTTCTCCCACTCTCTCTCTCTCACCCTCACACATCGTAAAACACACACACCTTAACCTTTCACCAGTGCAGTGGATGGGGAAATCTCAGCCAGGAGTCTGAGGGCTGATCCACTGCCATATCAATAATTCGGAACTTGCGGCGAGCATAAAAGTCAAGAACTTAATTTCCAGCTGCTGTCATTTTAAAAAACCATCTACACTTTTATGACTTTTTCGTACGTTCCCGAAGCAGAGGGAGATTACCGGGAAAAACTTTTCGATATCCGTGGCTATATCCGGCTCACACACACACGCCACACAGTGACAAACACAGATGGCAGGGCGGCTGCCACTTTGTTGGCTTTGTGTAAAGTCGCAGCTTAAAACAAATAAAATGCGAATGAAAATTTATTTTATGCATGTTGATGCTGTCGTCGTCGTCGTCGTCCTCGTCGAGTGCATTGTTTTTGCAGCGACAACACACAGATAGACACACACACAGCACACAAAAGAGACACAGTTACACCTGCACACACAAATAAACAAACAGACAAACAAACAGACAGCCATACAAACAGACACACAGATAGAGACGCACACGTGATGTTTGCCTGCCACTGCCACTGCAACAAAATGTGAGCTGAGCTTCTTTGGAGCTGCCTGCGTCTTAGGGAAATGTCTCTGTGGGGTACAGTGTCCCAAGAGCACTTAAGTGCTACACAAAATAAGACTAATCTAAAACTGTCCACAAATATTACACACGTGTAACTTATCTTCCAGAATATTTTAACCATCAGTCAGAGAGTTAATTATTGAATAATAAGCAAAGGAATGTGGTGATGTTCTTTTAACAGAAAAATGGTTGAGTGTTGATAAGAAATAACCGTATATAAGGCAGTCGCACTTCAACCTAAGTTTGAGTAAGTTTCGATCTCAAAATGTTAATATTTTTGTGTCTTCTGTTGGTTCAACTCCTCGTTGCTGGAGAGGCGAATGTGCTGCAGCGCATCGTCAATGGACAACTGGCCAAGGAAAGACAATTCCCATACGTGGTTCAAATTTGGATCGATACCCATAACGTAACCAGTTTGTGCGGTGGCAGTATTATAGCCAACAACTGGGTACTCACGGCTGCCCATTGCGTTGAGGCTGCCACGTGGGTGAGCATCACCTATGGCTCCATACATTTACAAGAGAATCCAGACAAGCTATTAGCCAAAAATCACGTGTTCCCACATCCCCAGTACAAAATCGGTGCTTTGAACGATATTGCACTGATTCGCACTAAGTGGGTGGAGTTTAATGACCACATTCAAAGTATCCCACTGCCATTTAATTATGGCTGCAGTAACTACGTGGGTCAGTGGGCTACTGTGGCCGGATGGGGTCAACTATATGACAATCACCGTGGACCCGTGGATCGTTTGTATTGGACATGGCTGCAGGTCGTTGATATATCCGTATGCAGAAGTCGTTTCGAAAATAACTTGGAAGGGGTAATCTGTGCTGGATCTTACACTGGAGAGTCCGGATGCTCCGGGGACTCTGGTGGTCCTCTGGTAAGCTATGACACAGACGAACTGATTGGAGTCGTCTCATTTGGACCTGAAAAATGTGAAGCCGGTGAGCCGTCAGTATTTGTTGATGTTTCCAAATACTTGCACTGGATTTACCATATCTCTGGTGTATCTTCATAACTATTTCATTAATAATTCGAATTTATTCAATTTGAATATCACAATAAATACATATAAAAATATATATTTTTGCCGCACTCTCCATGAGATTTCAACCACTGTCCTGAAGGTATCTGGAGCTTATCGGGCCAACTGTAAGATCTATTTTTGTGGTTTGGCTACTTCTGAGTTTGGTTTGGTTTAGTTTCTGTTTGCCGGGCTGGGCTTGTTTATTTGCTTGCATCGGATACGGTTACGGATTCGGAGACGTAGCCAGAACCGTAGCCGTAGTTTGAAGCGACTGCTGAGGCTACTGCTCCTGCTGCTGCGTTAACATTTACACAAGTTGGGCAAATAAAATCGTTAAGCGGAAGGAGAGCTGGAGATGGAGATGCAACTGTAGCTGAAGCTGAAACTGAATCTGGTCAGGGGGAGAGGTGCAAGCTGCAGTGGCCATGAAGCAAGTTGTATTTTCTTGATAGCGACAGCTGAGTTCTACTCTACCCCCTCCCCGCCTCTCTTTCTCTTGCTTTGCCTGCATACAAAGTGATGTCCCTGCTTAATGCTGCCAATTCAGGGAGCGTACAACTGACATGATAAACAAGCCAAACACAACCCAAAAAGCTGTCCTGGCTACCAGCTTCCACTCCGTTCTGGTTTTGATATCCTTACTGGGGGTATTGTGGCTTTGAACAGAAGTTTGGAATGTAACCGAAAGTTCAATAAATATCTCATTTATTGTTTTTTTGCTGCAAGGGTATTTTTAGCTTCGGCTTCGCACTTTTGCATTTTCCATTCTTGTTCCTCCTTGGCCTGACAGCTCTTTTTCCTGTCTGTTGCTGTTTTGCACATTTATCCTGTTCCTGTTAGTGACACCTTCTTTGTCCTGGCCCCATGTGCCCCGTGCCACACAGCTTGTCTGCATGTCACTCTTCATTCGCTGTCCCCACGCCCCACCATTTGCCTGGCACTAATGTTGTCGCCATATGAAATTCAAAGCAACTGCTTGCATGGCATGCCCCAGCCCCTGCCTCTCCCCCACACTCTATTCAGTTAAAACGGGGAAATTGATTTTCTATTTTGTTGCTGGTGAGTTTTCCTTTCGCTTTTTTTCCCCCCGTCTGCAGCGATTGTCAGTGTCAGCTACACGTGATTGAGTCTTATCTTTAGTTTTGTCACTTCAATGGCTGGCAGCTACTTTAAATGTCAGCACCGAGGCACCCCACCGCAGCACCCCTCTTATCCGATCCCCTCCCTACCCAATACCCAATACTTCCCCCCGTTCCCGTACTCCTACTCCCTCAGCCGTTTACGTACACGTGCTGTTTGGCGAATTTTCCCTATCCAGCTGCAGGAGCAGCAGTGTGGAGGAGCGCTGTCAAAGGGCTTACAGGGGCGCGTGTGTTGCATGTGTTTGTGTTGTGGCAGGAGAGGGGAGTTTCCCCCGTGGGGTTAAGTGCAACACATGTTGGCACTTTGTTTTTGGGGGATTTGCTTTGCAGCTTGTTTTAACCGTTTCGATAATTTCATAAAGGAAGTGTTGCACCTAATCTATATGGCTTATACTACTTCCTGGATTTCCCCTCTAAAAGAACAGATAGAACATAATTCTACGAGTATTACCTGCAAAACTTCCCTTGGGGGGGATGTACAGGTAAATTAACTTACACCAGAAATTGACTCACTCCTCTTGCTGATTGAATCCCCCTGCTGGATAAATCACTTTCCCACAATTTGAGCAAAATATTTGCTTACACATCAACAGATCCCCCGTCCGGCTGCCAAACCTTGCTGCCAGCTCTATCTTCGGAGCCGCAACCACAGCACAAAGTTTGTTTAAGCCTCCATGAAGATGCCCTGCCTGCCTGCCCAACCCCCACCCAATGCCAGGAGGCAGAGACCTCGCCTAGAAGGTTCACTTCTGGCCCCAAACGCATTTTTTATGCCTCGTCCTTCGATGTGTTTCGCTTTCGTCGTTTTGGGAGCCATTAACGAGCCGCGATGGGGACCAAAGTCGGCCCACTCACGCACATTATGCTTTAAATTTATGTGATTAATAAATTTCCATAATTTTCGGATACAACATTTTTTTTTTATATATTTTTTTTTTGCTTTACGAATAAAGCAACGGAAACGGAACTGCTAGGGGACGAATGTCCCCTGGTCTGTCAGCAGTTTTCCTTTTCCATTTTGCGTCGTTCCTTTGGTTAATGGCAGCAGAGATTGGCCCCAGATGAAAATTAAAGATTTCTCTGTTAAAATCGTACAACATTTCCATCTTCATCTTCTTTTGGGTTTTCGTTCTGTGGGTTCTGTGGGGCGTAGGAAAATAAATTTGCGCGCTTAGTTTTGGTGGCGAGGAAAATGAATAAAAATTAGTTTGCAGACCATAAAAAATTAGGGCAGCTTAACATGGGATCTGTGGTGGTCCTCAGAGGACACTGGCACTCGTTGGAAATTTATGACAGTTTACGCACAATGCATAAATCCCGGCAATTGTGGACGATTTTTAATGCTAGTTAAATCGACTGAAAATGACAGTTTAATGATTGACATGCGCCCGAGTTGATGCCGCCTCTGTGGCCGCTGTGCCGCACAGTGGTTGCCACTGGGAGATCACCCCGTTTTCGGGGGGGTATATCCCTTTTTTTCCACTGCTGCGTTCTGGGTTCATGAAACGTTTCAAATGAATGTCAACCGTCCTGTCTGTCTGCTCGAATGACGAATACAATCGTTAAAGGGCATACGCCGGAATGAGTCCGACGATTCCACAATTTGTGGAGCGTAGCGAAACGTGGCAGGGGGTTAGTCGGGTACTCGGATACTCGGATATGCGGATACTTGGGTAGTTGGTCGCCCAGCAGTAGGAACAGTAGCACCACTGCCGCCACTGCCACCACGCCCACTTGTCAGTTGTCAGTGGCACAAAAGCAGCTACGAACATCGCCCTGCGTCATCGTCGTCATCAGCATCAGCATCAACATCAATGTCAATGTTTATGACAGGCGCAGAGGATTAGCGGGTTACCCATTCGGAACTGTTTTAACCCCCAGCAAGGGTGCAGAGTTATGCAAAATGCGCATAGCTAAAATATGCTGCACTGAAAGAAATTATCATATACTACGGTTCAATGAGCAGGAGGAACGGGCAAAGAGTTTCCATTCCACCAGCTACTCTACTGCCAGCAATACAAAGTTGTAAGTATTCTCTCAGAATATTTTACCAACATCAATCAGCAGACGTATCTTTTGCCGATCTTCTTTATGTGCTGACTTAATTATTGAAATTATTATCGAAAGCCACGGAATGTGGTTCTGTTCTTTTAATAGAAAAATGGTTGAGCATTGATAAGAAATAACCGTATATAAGGCAGTCGCACTTGAACCTAAGGTTGAGTAAGTTTCGATCTCAAAATGTTGATATTTTTGTGTCTTCTGTTGGTTCAACTCCTCGTTGCTGGAGAGGCGAATGTGCTGCAGCGCATCGTCAATGGAAAACTGGCCAAGGAAAGACAATTCCCATACGTGGTTCAAATTTTGATCGATGCCCATAACGTAACCAGTTTGTGCGGTGGCAGTATTATAGCCAACAACTGGGTGCTCACGGCTGCCCATTGCACTGAGAATGCCACGTCGGTGAGCCTCATCTATGGCTCTATATGGAGAAAAGAGAAGCCCACCAAGAAGCTATTGGCCAAAGATCACGTTTTCCCACATCCACAGTACAACAATTTCGGTGGGTCTGCCATCAACGATATTGCACTGATTCGCACTGAGTGGGTGGAGTTCAGCGTTCGCATCCAAAGCATTCCACTGCCAACAGAATCCCGAGATGGCTACAATAACTTCGTGGGTCAGTGGGCCTTTGTGGCCGGATGGGGGGCTCTACATAACAATGGAAGTGCATCCGCTCGGTTGTACTGGGCCAAACTGCAGGTCATCGATGAATCCGCGTGCAGATATCGATACGGAAATAACTTGGAGGGCATATTGTGTGCTCGATCTGACAATGAACAACAGTCCGCTTGCGATGGCGACTCTGGTGGACCGCTGGTACACAATAAGGAATTGATCGGCGTCCTCTCATTTGGATCCAAATCGGGATGTGAAGATGGTGACCCGTTGGGATTTGCGGATGTTTCCAGATACTTGGGCTGGATTCGGCATGTCTCTGGTGTTGGCAATAATTACAATTTGAATGTGAATAAAATCATCATAAAACACTAACATTATCTTATATATCAACAATATCAACAATGTTATACATCAATAATATATAAAGTAATTAAAATTGAACTTTTCAAAGATTTAGAGACAGCAAAGGGAACAGAAAGACGTAACTGAAATATACTTTAAATATAATCAACTGAAATACGATGCCCACGAGGATCTTCCTTATCTGTGGCAACTTTTATCCGACTGCAGCTGTAAGGTCTGTGTGGTGGCAGTGTCTCCATTTCGTGCACCCTCTGCCGCAATGCGACTGTCAATCAGCGCCCCTTGTTGAGAATGACGAAAAGTGCATAATGTGGGCACTGATGGAGCTGGAGACGGCAACGGAGATGGAGCTGTAGTTGGGGGCTGCATCGTGTATGTGGGTGTGGGGGGGTACACGATTTTCAAGTGGCCTGCGGAATAAATCATGCGTGCACTGCTGACCGAACGACCTCCCACTAGAGACGACAAGCGACAACGACGACGACCACACTTGAAGCTGCATTAAGCGAGGAAGTAAAGAGAGCGCTCAGGTCTGCCTTCCCCCCCTCCCCAATCTATGTGCCACAGTCCCTGCCACACAGCCCCAATCATTGCTGACTGATCTTATTGTTGATAAATGCAGCATTTCATTCGTTGCCTGCCACTGGCGTTGCCACTCGTCTGCTCTGCGGCAGAGGTTCAATTGGATGCCATGAAAATTGACAACAACAAAAAACCTCACTTGAGACAAATTGTGAATTTGTTTAAGAATCATCATCGTGAAGTGCGCTTAACACAAATTTGTTTTGTTAGGCATTTTGTGCTGTGCGTGTTATGGAAAATATTTTATTAGCAGCAGCAGCAGCAGGAACAGCAGAAGAAGTTGCTTTGGGGAGGTTATAGATGGAGGAACTGTCGCGTAGGCGTTTGATTCCAGATTCTAGATGAAGATTAATTACGTTCCACTCAAGTGACGGCAACAAAAAAGACAGAGGCCAACGGGGAGGTCACCCCACACACAGCCACCCCAGCAGCAGCAGCACTCTCCATCTCTATAGCAGGAGAGCTGCCTATATCATATCGGATTGCACAAGGCCCGGGTAACCGGTAACTGGAGCGGAATAAGCCCTGTACAAATTGTAGATCTGCAACATGGTTACCTTTAACAGCAGCGATGACATAATCTTGTCTCTTTATGGCGACCGTGAGATAAACATCGCAAAGGTACGAGTACGAACGAGTATCATTGGCAGGATTTGCAGCTATGGTTACGGCGGGGCCGGGCCAGGCACTGAAAGCAGGGGAGGGTTGCCCTGCCAAGTTAGCCAAGTGAAAAACAAGCAGAGTACACGTGGACAGAGGCACACGCCAGGGAGACAGTCTCTCCCTCTCCCTCGCTGAAGGTCTCGCCAGTGCAGCAGTCAACAGAAATTATAATAACAGTAATTACCAGAAAAACCAACCGACCATCAGGGGGGCACCCCTTAACCGAACAGAACTCCACTATACACTCCATTAAAATGGGGGAAACAAACTTACGCGTTACGTCCTACAATCAAATTTACAACTCAAGTGCAGGACAACAACAGCAGCAGCAGCACTCCCTGACCCATTCCCCCCCAGCAGCAACAGGAAGTGGCGGCCCAGACATACTAGAAACTACCCCCAACAATTTGGCAAAAGGAATCGAAGAATAGGAATCCATATAGTACACGAGCAGTAGTTGCATGTTCCGCTCGCTTGTTGCAAGTCTCGTTCTAGCGGCGCAGTTGATAAATGAGGCCACGTGCCTTATCAGCCATTCCCTTAACAAGCAGCGGACGTAGGACATATAAAAATAGACCCCGCGCCACACAGAGACAGAGAAGAGATCACCATCACGTAGCCCCCCCGCTACAAATGCCAACCCCTGATTATGCAGACAGGCAAAATAGATGCGAGTGGAACACGAAAACCAATTTGTAAACGACAAATGCAGACAGCCAGAACTAGAGGCAGACAGGCAGGGGGCAAGTCACGGTGTGTCCGCCACTAATGTGGCAAGCAAACAGAAGTGCATTCGTAAGTAACGCCAATAATAATAAACTCAAAATCGAAAGTGCAAACAGATAACTCTTCAGGGAGTTGGAGGCACGAACCTGAACCTGAGCCTGAACCCACCCTCAACTTTCGCTTAGCGGATTGGATGGGAGGAGCAGCCAGAAGCTGTCGATATCCCAGGGGACTTTGGTTACTGTGTAGCGCCACAAAACATATTTCTCGCTGTCTCCGTAGCTCACCTTTTATCAGGGCTTTCATCAATTTTGGTCCTTTTCGGTTCTTTGGATTCCATACTTTAGCAATCAGACAAAAGCCTTGGAAGCGCGTGTCCTGCGAGCGTTTTGAATTAATTTAATGCCTTGTGCCCGAGGTCCCAGATGATGGGCCGTGGCCATGGCCATGGCCATGACCATGTCGCTTCTCGGCGTCAACATTCAACATCATAATTCAAAAAATTCATTCGAAAACATGACGTTTTCATTTCGGCACGCGTCCGAAACCAGAGAGAAGAAATAAAAACTTCTTTCCTTCATTCATTCAGTCACTCCGCTCCGCTCGAGGGTTGTAAAAGTTTGTTCGGTGTGAAACTCGCCAGCGGCGTTTGCATAATCATAATTTCATTTCGCTTATAAGTGCTGAGAAATTATGTTTGTGTTTAGTTTAATTTGCAGTTTGCAGCTGAGACGACGGGTCGAGTCGCGTTGCGCTGCGCTGTGAGGGTGAAGGCCAAATGTGGCCCTGACATGCAAAAAAAAAAAAAATGGGAACCCAAAAGAATATCAAATGCAACAAGAACTCAAGTCTGAAACCCCAAGTCGAAGGCTTTTAGTGTCATTATTTGGCTTGGGCGGATTTCAGGCATGAAATTGCAGACTAATGCCCCCGTTCCCGTGCCCTTGCCCGTGCCCGTTCCCAACACGACACGACATAGGGTTGAATGAGACAGTCTTGTGTCAAGTTTTGGTGGTTTCTAATAGACCTGATTGATGACTCAGTGGAGTGTCGTGGCATATGTTCTAGCCGTCAAAGTTTTGTGGCAAAGTTAAGCCCAAGAGCAGCTGCTAAAAGCAACAAAAATCCCCAGGGGCATCAAAGCTTTAAACTTAAAAAAAATATAAACTCTAATGCCACATAAGCTGCCATTAAGGCATAGCTGTCAGATCCAGGATCCAGACAGGATGTCCTGCAGGTCGTGCCATTAAAAATGAATAAAAATCAATTGAATAATTTAAGCTAAAGACTTTTTCAATTAATGGAGCAGTCAGGAGACCGCCGCCTAAGCTGCCGATGCCAGCAGGACATCAAGACATAGCCGTAAGCCAGGCCAGCAGGACACCACCATCATCATCATCGTGAGGATTTTGTGGGTGTGGTCAGCCAGCAGATGAGGCAATGGAGCGGAAATCGAAAACCAATAAATTTCACGATGTGGGAAATTATGAAAATCCTAATTGAAGCGAGGAAGGAGCGACCTGCCTCGATGTGGTGGGCGAGGGGTCATTTTTCTTTACCTGGCCGGCAAAAAAAAAAAAACACAAAAAAGAGGATATCTTTATGGAGGCGTTGGCCGTTAATAGCATTCCTAATTGGTGGGCAGGCGGCTGTTTTTCTTGGTACTAAAAACTGCGCTGCGGTGGGAATCTTTGATGTGCGGACACACACGATCACTGGTACCGATAAATGCCAGCCCTGATCGAAAATGTCTCAAATTTAAGGCGAAAATAATGCCACATAAATATCCATAATTATAATTACAATTTAAATTATAAACATCTTTGAAAGATGTTCAAAATGTGACACATCTTCGAGAAATATAACTTTGAAAAATGCTTACCCAAAGGCTTACGGAAGTTACCGTATCTCATAAATCAAATTATTTCCATGCACTTTGCAAATACTCGTATTATAATCTCATATTTGCCGCCAACTTTTATTCGCATTTCCTAGATATGTTTGCCTCCAATACATTTTCCAATTGAGCCTGTCAATTTTTTTAGCACCCAAATCTTGATATAATGCCACACACGCCTGTCCCAGAAACCCCAAAAAAGAAAACTTTTGTGAGCACAGAAAAAAAAAGATGAAAATCAGCAAATAATAAGCGAAGTGTCGCGCTTGATTTATGTGATTTGTTTGGAGCTCTCGGAGAGAGTAGGTGCCCTGCCCTGCCCTGCCCTGCCCCGGCCCGACCAGCGGTACAGCCGTGTATGGGTGTAAATGTGCCTTTAATGGCGCTTTGTCATCATCAACATTTGTCCTTATGCCGAGTGCGTAGCCAGCAGGCAACAAGAGGCAACAGAAGCCGCAGGAGCAGCACCAGCGCCAGCACCATCCAGGATATGATTTATGTCCGCCCTTTCGAGGCACCCGCATATGTGTAGTTCTGGTGCTGTTTTCGTATTTTTTTGGGTCCTTTTTGCGGGAAACCACAGAAAAGCCGCTGCTAACTTGGCTTATTGTCGGCTGCTTCTTTTCCGGCTTGAACTTTTTGCTGGCACTGACTCTGGCGCTGGTGCTGTTGCCGGCATTGGCATTGGCCTAATGACAATTTCTCATGTCATTTGGCTGTGTGTGTGTGCGGACTTCCCTAATGCCAGGATAATAGTCCAGAGTTGAGTCCACAGTCCATGGGTCCTAATCATAATTTATATACATTTTTGCTTACACTTGGTATCGTATTTGTGGCATTTGATTTATGTGATTACCTTGGGGCTCATCCGATTCGATTTTAATGTAGTTTACCTCCTTTTTTTTGGCGTTGAACTCTACTCCGCCTATAGAGATAGAGTCACTAATGATCTCAAAGTTTCTCCTCCAAATAGACTTTGATTTCGACCCCCGAGAGTACTGCATTGAGGAGTGATTGATAGGATGCCGCCACTCGTCGTCTTCAATTGCAGACAAAGCATCATCGGTTGACGTTTTTCTTCGTTTTCCTCTCGCCCCTCCGGCAACCAGGGGTCGTAAATCATATTTCTCTTGACATTTCAACTCGGTTT